CAAACACATGGTCTCTCTATATAAAACTCCTCACTGTCTTCTGTGTCATGTGTGGGAAAACTCGTACCCAAATGTCCACCCGTGGCCAGGACAGCCCAGGGGGTGTGTCCCGCCGAGCTGGGAGTCCCAGCCCCAGCTCCCGAGGACTAAGGGCGAACGTCTCCCTTTGCCTTAAACCTCTTGATTTCACTGCGATGATAATAGTTTCACTTTGTACATAATAGTGTACACCTTTTTAAAAAGGAGACTATAAAAACAGAAGTTGTAATTTAAAAGTCTGTGAATAACCATCTGCTGCTTCGGAGCCACAATGAAATGACATGCCTTTTTAGCAGGAAGCAACGTTGGCTTTTGCTTTTTGGGTTTTGTTTGTTTTTCGTTTTTAAAACACGTGCATTTTACAGTTCCAGTATGAGATATTTATAGCCCTCTGAGGAATGAATGAATGTTTCTATTTACAACTGTGGTATCAAAATGGTGAACTTTCCCTCCCCTGCATTTCGGTGTGCTTAAATTCCTGAAAGTTACATTAAATAATAAAAACACCTCTTTATTATAAACTGCTGGCGCTCCGGTCCGAGGTGGAATGGCTAGTTTTTCTGAGCGTGTTTGAGTCCAGAAACTGACTGAGCAGCACGTGTTCATGGCCCTCGCTGGCCTCGCCTTTGTACCGGTTTTTAAGAATGACTCTTTGGGAGCTATCACATGTGAGCACGAAACAGCCACAGTATTTACATTTTTAGATTATACATTTTTTTTGGCTAGGAAGAAGTGTTTAAAAATACAGTGTTATTCCATGGCCTGAACTTTGACAATTCTGCCAAATTCGACAGATCCTCCTCTCCCACCGAGGGCTCTGATGGACCAGAGCATGTCTGCCCACCCGGAGGGACTTCTACTCCACCACCTAGACTAAGAGTCTGCCCTATTTAAAGGGGCAGTTTTGTTTACCTTCTGTTGTTTTTACACCCCAAAGCGAAAGAAAGACACAGTCCCTTCTCCCAGTCCTTCCTGGCTTTGTCCCTACTGACCTAGGGCCATGGCCCAGAGTCCCTTAGCCAGGAAGTGTCTGTGGTCCTGGAGCGGGTGACCCATGGCCAGTTGCTGTATTTCCAAACTTGCCTGGGGTGGGGGGAAGAGCTTTCTTTTTTATGTTTCAGTAAAATAAACTTACAAACTAACAAGGATCATCCATTGCCAAAGGCTTTCAGGTGGTTTTCGTTCAAAGCTAGCCTCGGAGGCTAAGCCACTGGGCCTCCCAGTCTTACGGCCTGGGACAGCTGCTGGGATTTACAAAGGCACGGCAAGCAGAAGAGCTGGGGTCCCACTGTGGCCCCAGAGCCAGGAGAACCCAGGGTCAGTGCCAGTGGGGCAGGCCCTCCCCCAAGATTCCTGACTTCTGCACAATTCTGGGGGTCCAGAGATGAAAACAAACCAAAAATACTGGCCTTTCAGTTTAGTAAAAAAGGTAAGAGCAGTATCAAGCAACCATTTAATTATTTTATTTATTTATTTTTAGATAACAACGCTGGTAGGGTGCCACACACAGCTTTGTGAGGTAGCGAGCTCCTGGTGCTCAGGGGTGTGCAAGCAGACGGCGGCCCACTGCGGCAAGTTTTCCCTCTGGTGGGACCGCAGCAGGTGGGCCCTCAGACCTGGGAAACGCTGGCTCCTCCTTTGCTCCTATATTTATTCCCGTTTTTCAGTCAACAGCATGTGATCGAAACGGCTAATCACCAATCACCGATCGGCTTTGCTGTGCTGGCCAGCCACTGTCTCCAGAGGGGGGAGCCCAA